GGCAGGAGGGGAAGAATCATTCGGAATCGGAATCAAGGTGGCAGGGACGAGATGAAACTGAGCTACCCCTGTAACGGGAAGGAAGACTTCACACCCTGTCCCTGCCCCTCCCCCACTTCCTTCCCTTTTGAGGGCTTGGACCCAGTCTCTGTGGCAGAGTTGGAAGGGGCTACATTTCCGAGAAACCCAGGGGAGTAAAGGGAGGGCGCCTACAGCTTCCCCTGGCTCCACTTCCTCCTGGTGACCCAGCTGGGCGTCTGGGAGCCTCTCCTGGCCTTGACATAGGGAAATCAGAGCCTCCAGGAGGTGCTGAGTTGCCCCGAGGGGGGAGGGGGACCCAGCCTAGGTGCTGGCCACGGCTGTAGGTAGGAACTGGCTGGGGCAGCTGGACACCCAGGTCCCCTGTGTCCAGTGCTGTGGGGTGGAGAAAGAGGGAGAAACTTTCTGCAGCCTAATCCCCTCTTCCCCTCCGCCTCACACACAATTCCCCGTCCTCTGGTTTCCCCACCTGTGAGAAGAGGGAGTGTCAGGGCCCTGTGTCTTTTATTGCAGGAGGGACCGGGAGTGGCTGGTGGAGTGTAGCTAATGAGGGCCCTGGGGAATGAGATGGGGGAGTGGAGGGTGAGGAGACCCACACATCCTGCCCCCTAGGCTCTGCCCCTCAAGATCCTCTGCCCTTGCCCCAGTCTGAGGCCAGAGGACCACCCCGCCAGGGCCGCCTACATTATCCACTGGAGTTGGCACACAGACACTTCATGTCCTCAGAGCTAGGAAACTGGCATCCCACACCCCCATCCCAACCCAGGGACCACGGTCCCTTTTTCCCGCCACTTTCAAACCTTACCCCCAGCCCAGCAGTGGAGACCCTAACCCAGGCGTCCAAGACTTCCAGCAGAGTCTGTACCAGTCAGGGGGAGGAGCAGAGGCGGGCATGGCAGGGTGAGCAGTGGGGGCCCTGCCAGCCCCCTCCGGTGCCCCAGTTCCCAGGCAGCTCTTAAAGGGACCAAGATGAATTAGTTAGGAGGAGCTCAAGGGGGTGGGTGCAGAGGAAAGTGGGTGGCGGGGAGATGATTAGTTTCTCCAGGGGCAGGAGGGCCAGAGTGGGGGCCTGACATCCCCTCTACTCCCCTGGAAGCCCTCAGACTCCTCAGTCTTGCCTTTCCATCATCCTATGTGACCCCCATGTTGGGCACCAGCTTCTGACCACCACCTCCTTCATCTTGGTCCCTTGGGCCCCTGCCCACTTCCTCCCCCTTCACCCATATCTGTGCCACCTCAGTCTCCGGTGAGAGCTGCCAGCTGGCACGGACTGGTACTAAGCATGGAGAATCAGCCCAAGGATTGTAAGGGTCTGAGGCCCGGCCCCAGAGGGGGAGGGTGGCCAGCACCTCAGTCACTCCAGGGGGGTGAGAGCAAGAGGCTCCCACACACTTGTTTTCTCTGTTCCTCCAGGGGCAGAACAGGGGGCAGGAGGCGCTGGGGAGGCTAAGACACACGGATCCTGCCTCATCCCCTCCCTCACCTGCATTCACCCTGATAGGTTGTCAGGGTGGTGACATGGAAAAGAAAAATGGCTTCACCCGTTACTTCTGGCCATGAAAGGGCTGAGGACAGTGAAGAGAATTTAAAGTAAGACCAGGCATCAGGGGACTCATTAGGATTCCATCCTAAGAAATCACCTGAAAAGTTTAAAGAAAAGTCATCCAACGGTAGCGTTATTTACAATGTGAAGCTGGGAATTGATGAACTGTCCAGAGGGGGGTTACAGGAAGTGTTGTATAAACATCCCGCCATGAAAAAGTATGTTTATATAATAAACATCCTTAATAAAATATTTTCAAAACATATGGTCTTAAAAACCAACATGAAAAAGATCATCTTGGCAATAAAACATGAGCAAAAGGGTCCCAGCTGGTAGCTCAGCTGGTTAGAGCAGCTAAGGTTGTGGGTTTGATCCCTGGGTCAGGCCACATACAAGAGTCAACCAACGAATGCATAAATGAGAGGAACAACAAACTGATGTTTTTCTCTCTCTTTCTCTTATCCTCTCTCTCTCTCCCTCTCTCTAAAATCAACAAATCAAGAGAAAAAAATGAGTAAAAGAGATAGAAACATGTTATACCAGGAGAAATAAAAATAAGCCATACACATTAATAAAAAAATTTCAATTTCTCTCGAAAGAAATGTAATTTGAAGCAACAATGAAAATAACTGTTCTCCTATAAAGTGAGCTAACATTAAAACTGACAAAACTTGTGGTGTTGTTAGAATGTGAGGGGGCGTGGGCTCCGCTGCAGGTGAGAATGACAAGGGTCCCGTTTCACTTGGAAATATTACCAACGGCCTTTTTTTTTTTTTAATGCGTATAATTTTGAGTCAACCAGTCTCTTTCTTAGACTTTATTTCATGGAAACTCCCAGAGATATGTGTAAAGATGTGCATTCCAGGAAGCATTATTGATAATAGCCAGTAAGAAATTGTAAATGTTGTACATATTTCAAAAATGGAAAAATAAAATGCTCGAAGGCCTCCCACCATAATGTTCATGATGGTTTCCACGGAGAAGATTTCTTTTTCTTGCTCCTTTTCTACCCTCTCTGTCATGGCAAAGTATTACTGACATGAAACCGACAGAAAAGGAATCCGTTATTTTAAAAAAATGTTTATAAACTTTGAAATAACATCGGAAAGTGCTTATGCATTCTAACTAAGAAAAGAGCAGAAGCAAATTTTGAGCCACGGTGAGGTTTTAACCATGTGGTATTCGCTCAGGAAAAAACGCCTGGAAGGAAACCCATCAGTGGCTGTCTCTGGGCCATTGAAAAGAGATGACTTTTTTTTCCTACTTCTTTGTACGTGCCTGTGTTTTCAGTTTTACTACAGAGTATGTGCTGCATTCTAACTGTATACGTTTTCATCAATCACACGTGGCCTGCTGGGTGTGGTGTCCTGTCCTGTGAGTGACCAGCTTGCAGTGGCGGATAAGGCAAGCTCACTGATTTGCTTTATCCCTTCAGCTGCCTCAAGAACAGGGACCTCGCCTGCTGGTCGTGGTGTCCTGAAGGCCTCTCTCTATAATTCAGAGCCATCCCCTTGCTGGCCATGGTGGGGCTTCGGCGCCCCCGGGTGCCCAGACCTGGAAGTGCATGTAAGCGCCCTCAGAGATGGGTCTCCTTCATTGATGTCCAAGACCTACCAGGGCCCCTGGGTCCCTCCTCCAGGGCTGGGAGAGAGAGGGGTTTCTTTCTTTCTTTCTTCTTTCTTTCT